GGATTTTTCACATACTGAATTCGGATTGTTGTGGATAGTCTACGTACAAGTTCCGGATTATTCTGGGCTCATTGCGAATTATCGCGTTTCTATCAGATATAATTCCGATTGTTTCTGACATTTACCGAATTTGCTGCATACAAATTTCGGATTTGTTCCGGCCTCAATACGGAATATGGTTTAGCAAGACTAATTTCGGATTGATACAGACCTATTCTTGATTCTTCACATACGGATTTCGGATCGTTTCATACTTAATTTTAACGAAATTTTTTAAGTATATTAAATGCAGATTGTTACGGAGTGTTTGCGGATTTTATACATAAAAGTTTCGGATTACCACAGTGAAAATTCGGACTACGCTATTTTGTTCGGACTGATTTCAAAGTGATGCGTATTACTTTCAGATTCTTTGCTTACAGGTTTTGGATTGTTCAGTAGTATTTCCTGATTTAATTTTTTCAGGATTCATATTCGGATTATAGCGGACTGATTTCATAGTCATTCCAGATTATTCCGGTCTAACTTAGGATTTATTATTTTAGTCGAACTGATTTCAGACTATCGTGGATCATTATCGTACTTGTTTCGTACACTTTTCAGGCTAATCCAGACCAATTTCTCCGAATTTAATCCGAAATTAATCCGACTTTTTTACCAGGGGTTGCCGTGCGTTAGTCATATATAAATCGGATAGATTCAGAGCATTATCGTACTATATATGCATATTAATTTCGGATTGATTTAACACAATTTCCGATTAAGAATTTCCCAGACTAATTTCGGATTAAAGCGGACCAAAACCAGATCTACTACATACTTCAATCGAATTGTTTCGTACTCAATTCGATTAAAGATATTTACCAACTAATTTCGTACTATTGCGGACTGCTTGCAACTAAATTACGTACAAGTTCCAGATTATTCCGGATTTGTGTCTTGATGCCGTGTTTCAGTCATATATAAATCGGATCGTTTCAGAGCAAAACCGTATTCAATTTGCATACTGATTTCGTATTGTTTCAATGTAATTTCGAAATATGACTCTGCTTAACTATTTGCTGATTGATGCGGACTGAAACTGGATTCTTCACATACTAAATTCGTAATGTTTCGTTCTTGGTTTGGACTTATATTTTTGAACTGAACTAATTTCGTATTATTGCGGACTGTTTGCGAATATTGTGCATACAATTTCCAGATTATTTCACTATTATGTCGGATTAAGTTTTTTGTTCGGACTGAATTCGAAGTGAAGCGGATTGTTTTCATATTTTGCTAATACTATTTTCGGATTTTTTCTTATTAATTGCTGATTCGTTTTTTTCGGATTCGCATTTGGATTGTTTCGGACAGATTGCGGTTTGTTTTCGTAGATATTCCAGATTAATGCCGTCTAATTTTGGATTTGTCGTTTTGTTCAGACTAATTTCATACTAATGCCGATAACTTTCGTAATTATTTCGTACATTTTTCCCACTTATCCAGTCTATTCTGTCCGAATTTGATACGAAACTTACCCGACTTTTTTACCAGGGAAATAAAAATTATCTGTAAAAAATATCACTTGCAGACGGGCAAGAGTTTCAAAGATTTTAAATGTATTTTATTAGTTCAAACATAAAAATTTAAATTTAAAAAATATCACTTGTAGCCGGACAAGGGTTTTAATGATTTTAAATGTATTTTATTAGTTCTAACATAAAAATTTAAATTTTAATAATATCACTTGCAGCCGGACAAGGGTTTCAAAGATTTTAAATATGTATTATTAGTTCTAAAATAAAAATCAACTGTAAAAAATATCACTTGTAGCCGGACAAGGGTTTCAATGATTTTAAATGTATTTTATTAGTTCTAACACAAAAATTTAAAATTTAATAATATCACTTGTAGCCGGACAAGTGTTTCAAATCTTTGAAATATGTTTTATTAGTTCTAAAATAAAAATTATCTGTAAAAAATATCACTTGCAGCCGGACAAGGGTTTCAAAGATTTTAAATGTATTTTATTAGTTCTAAAATAAAAATTAAATGTAAAGAATATCACTTGTAGCCGGACAAGGGTTTCAAATTTTTTAAATATGTTTTATTAGTTCTAAAATAAAAATTATCTGTAAAAAATATCACTTGCAGCCGGACACGGGTTTCAAAGATTTTAAATATGTTTTATTAGTTCTAAAATAAAAATTATCTGTTAAAAATATCACTTGCAGCCGGACAAGGGTTTCAAAGATTTTAATTGTATTTTATTAGTTCTAACATAAAAATTTAAATTTAAAAAATATCACTTGTAGCCGGACAAAGGTTTCAAATGTTTTAAATATGTTTTATTAGTTCTAAAATAAAAATTAACTGTCAAAAATATCACTTGTAGCCGGACAAGGGTTTCAAAGATTTTAAATGTGTTTTATTACTTCTAAAGTAAAAATGTTTTAAATATGTTTTATTAGTTCTAAAATAAAAATTAAATGTAAAGAATATCACTTGTAGCCGGACAAGTGTTTCAAAGATTTTAAATGTGTTTCATTAGTTCTAAAAAAAAATTAACTGTAAAAAATATCACTTGTAGCCGGACAAGGGTTTCAAAGATTTTAAATGTGTTTTATTAGTTCTAAAGTAAAAATGTTTTAAATATGTTTTATTAGTTCTAAAATAAAAATTAAATGTAAGGAATATAACTTGTAGCAGGACAAGGGTTTCGAGTATATTAAATGTGTTTTATTAGTTCTAAAATAAAAATTATCTGTCAAAAATATCACTTGCAGCCGGACAAGTGTTTCAAAGATTTTAATTGTATTTTATTAGTTCTGAAATAAAAATTAAATGTAATAAATATCACTTGTAGCCGGACAAGGGTTTCAAAGATTTTAAATGTATTTTATTAGATCTGAAATAAAAATTTAAATTTAAATAATATCCCTAGTAGCCGGACAAGGGTTTCAAAGATTTTAAATGTGTTTTATTAGTTCTAAAATAAAAATTAAATGTAAGAATATCACTTGTAGCCTGACAAGGGTTTCAAATGTTTTAAATATGTTTTATTAGTTCTAAAATAAAAATTAACTGTAAAAAATATCACTTGTAGCCGGACAAGGGTTTCAAAGATTTTAAATGTGTTTTATTAGTTCTAAAGTAAAAATGTTTTAAATATGTTTTATTAGTTCTAAAATAAAAATTAAATGTAAAGAATATCACTTGTAGCCGGACAAGTGTTTCAAATCTTTTAAATATGTTTTATTAGTTCTAAAATAAAAATTAAATGTAAAGAATATCACTTGTAGCCGGACAAGTGTTTCAAAGATTTTAAATGTGTTTCATTAGTTCTAAAAAAAAATTAACTGTAAAAAATATCACTTGTAGCCGGACAAGGGTTTCAAAGATTTTAAATGTGTTTTATTAGTTCTAAAGTAAAAATGTTTTAAATATGTTTTATTAGTTCTAAAATAAAAATTATATGTAAAGAATATCACTTGTAGCCGGACAAGTGTTTCAAATCTTTTAAATATGTTTTATTAGTTCTAAAATAAAAATGTTTTAAATATGTTTTATTAGTTCTAAAATAAAAATTAAATGTAAGGAATATAACTTGTAGCAGGACAAGGGTTTCGAGTTTATTAAATGTGTTTTATTAGTTCTAAAATAAAAATTAAATTTTGAAAAATATCACTTGTAGCCGGACAAGGGTTTCAAAGATTTTTAATGTATTTTATTAGTTCTGAAATAAAAATTTAAATTTAAATAATATCCCTAGTAGCCGGACAAGGGTTTCAAAGATTTTAAATGTGTTTTATTAGTTCTAAAATAAAAATTAAATGTAAGGAATATCACTTGTAGCCTGACAAGGGTTTTAAATGTTTTAAATATGTTTTATTAGTTCTAAAATAAAATTTAAATTTAAAAAATATTACTTGTAACCGGACAAGGGTTTCAAATGATTTAAATATGTTTCATTAGTTCTAAAATAAAAATTAAATTTTGAAGAATATCACTTGTAGCCGGACAAGGGTATCAAGGATTTTAAATGTGTTTCATTAGTTCTAAAATAAAAATTAAATTTTAAAGAATATCACTTGTAGCCGGACAAGGGTTTCAAATATTTTAAATGTTTATTTTAAAAACTAAAAATGTGATAAAATTTGAAGAATATCACTTGTGGTCGGACAAGGGTTTCAAAGATTTTAAATGTGTTTTATTAGTTCTAAAATATTAATTAACTTTAAGGAATATCACCTGTCGCCGGACAAGGGTTTCAAGGATTTAAAATTTTTTTTTATTAGTTCTAAAATAAAAAATAAATTTTAAGAATATCACTTGTAGCCGGACAAGTGTTTGAAAGATTTTAAATGTGTTTTATTAGTTCGAAAATATAAGTTAAATTTAAAGAATATCACTTGTAGTCGGACAAGGTTTTCAAATGTTTGAAATGGGTTTATAAGAATTTTTATTGATTTAAAAAAATTAGTTTTATTTTTGAGGTGATACTTTATTAATAAATTTAAATTTTTAATGTCTTTGATCTTTAATTTTTATTTTTTTCTCATACCTTACTTTTATATTTTACCGATACCATGGATATCTGCTTGTGGGATATGGTTGGTAGTTTCTTTTGTACCAATCAGGGTAATAATTTTTCATTTTATATGCGGTCGACCTTGCCGTTGGTTTTCCTTTTTTTTTTGGTTGTCCTAAAAAATTTAATTTTACTAATCAAAATGACATTTTTGTGAAATTTAATGTTTATCTTAGGTTGTGTAATTTTATGTTTCGAACGTAAGTTCATTTAATGTGTACTTTGAGTGTCAATATTTAAATAATAATCTTTATTTTGGATGTTAAAAGGTGGAGAATATATTGATTACGTCTTATTTTTATTGTTGTCAATTCTTTCTGTACAGTAAAACTTTCTTTATTTAAAATATGCAGAAGATTTTTTTTATATTAATTTAGTAAGTCCATTTTATAGAAGTAGTGTTTTAAAATATGTTCTTTAATATATACCCTGTAATTTATTTTTGTTGTGGATCTGTGGAGCCGGATGATCTTCTTTCTGCTGATCTTCTTTCAGCTGATCTTCTTTCGGTTTATCTTCATTCAGCTGATCTTCTTTCTGTTTATCTTCTTTCGGCTGATCTTCTTTCGGATGATCTTCTTGTGAGTCCTGCAATTGGGTACTTTTATTTGATTCTTGTTGCTCATCTGCAATTTAAATTAAATTATCACCACAATTAATTTATGAACGATTTATATGTAAACAATAATCTTCACGTTAATTGTTAAAATGTTGAGAAAATAATGGGCTAATACTTCATAATCTGTATGTTATGAGATTCGTTTTGATATAGAGAAAGTTTCTTTATACAAATATGTAGAACTTTATTTTGATATTAATGTGAGGCTCTCATTGCGGTGAAGAAAAACAACCCAAAATTTGAAATTTGTTGCGGAGAATAGTTATGACTTAACGATCATGTTTTTTTAATAAATTAAGACACATTTTTGAACTTTTAAAAAATATATTTTATTTTTTAAAAATTAAAAAATTGCGGCCAATATGGCGAGTCTAAAAAAATTATAAACTTATATAGCTATCAAAAAATGCAATAAAAAATCAACTTTTTGAACTCTATTGTTGAAAACCTTGCCTTCATTTAATAAGTCTAACTTGTAAAAGAAGTATTTTTATATAAGTTATTTAAAATATACCAGATAATTTATTTATATCGGGGATCTTTGGTGTCGGCTGATCTTTCTTCAGCGGCGAGTCCTGCAACTGCTTCCTTGTATTTCCTTCTTCCTCATCTGGAATTTAAGTGAAATCATCACCATAATTATTATTTAAAGTATAATTATATTGATAAATGTCAACGAGAATATTATCATAATAGAGGGAAAAATAACGTGAATTAAGGTGTACAGTTGTGTTAAATTATCCTAAATTATCTGAAGTTTTGTGAATTATCATCAATTGCTTTGAATTATTTCAATTACATACTATGAATTATCTTGAATTGACTTGAAGTATTTGAATCATTCTGAATTATCTGAAATATCGTGAATCATTTTGAGGTATGAAGTAGGTACACACCAAATTTTTTAGTTGTATCACCCTCGAACATAATTATAAACTAAATTTTGAACCGGCATAAGTAGATATACATTGCCGGTTCTTGATACAGATTCCTGCACCGACATTTACCGACATTTGAAATAAAAAATGGTTCTAATCCATTCTAATCGAGAAACTTCTAAAGAGATACAAAGAAAAAAAATTTTTCCTGAAAATTCCCCAAAAACTTGTATCTCCTGATCATACGGTAAGTATAAAATATTTTTCAAATAAATTTGGTTTTCTTAATATTTAAATAAATTGTTTAATTATTTAATAGAATAATAATTATACAGATATTATCAGAATAAGAAAACATCACCTGTTAATGTTATGAGTGGTTTTTTGCTTGGATGATAAAAATAGTTACATACATTTCAGAGAGGAATCATCTGTAGTGTAATATGAGATATGTCAGCACAATAAAATTAGAAGACATATAATACTTATTATTATTATCAATTATTATTTCTTAATAATTATTATTAATTATTACAATTATTATTATTAATTATTACAATTATTATTATTATTAGTATTATTAACTCTCAAGATGTAATTTTTGCATGAATTTTAATTTATTTTCACATCAGCTGACAATAATGATTCAATCTAAATGTCTTAGAAAATGATGAAGTATATTTAGTAAAAAGAGATAGAGAAAAATGTATGACTATAAAAGAGTGAGGAAGAATTTCTTATTACTACATTGTATTGTTACGTCCGATGTGAAATATCAAGGAACAGTTAAATTTTTATTAATTCACAATGAATTTTGACTATTGTAAAGAATTTTTGAAGGTTATGAATACTGCTTTAGCAACTTTAAGTAAAAAAACAACACCTGAAGAACTGAAATTTTGGATTAAAAATAGTGTAAAAAATGTGAATCAACTTACTAAACTTTTAAAAAATAAATCATTACCATGTGGAGAAAAGAGAAAAATTTTATCAACAATTGGACTTTTGAAGTCAAACAGTCGGAAATTTAAGAAGCTAAGGAGGCGAAGATTAGGCCTCAAGGAAGATGAGAAATGGATCAGGTGGGATGATATCGAGAATGCTTTTAATAATCGAATTAGAACAGGTTTAATAATAAATTTAAAACATAAAAATTTAGATTGTTTTTTTAGTGATGCGAAAAACATAATTATCTCTAAAATTAAAAAATTTTTAAAAGAATGGGAAATTTGAAAGTTAATGTTGTTTTTGCAGCAAATTATAGTGCTTTAGAAAATGGTAGAGAAATTGATGATGTCAAATTTTTTAACACAAAAAATTCAAAAATTCTTGAATCAACAAATTTTGATAAATGGTTTGAGAGTGAAATTAGAGAAAAACTTTTTGTTAAAATTGATGATTTTCAACAGAATGAGTCAGGGTGGTCTTTGAAAGAAATTTTAAATTTAACTGTGAATATTAATAAATACGTTCCTCTTTCAACTGGATTATCAACTTTTATAAAAATGCCACAATTTATAATCAATAAAAGAGCTGTTGTTAATATTAAAAATAATGATCAATTCTGTTTTTTATGGTCAATTATTGCCCAACGTTATCCAGCAAAGAGTAATGTGTCTTGCACTAGTTCATACCCACACTTCAAAGATACTGATTTAAAGATTGGTGATATAAATTTCCCTATTTCTCTAAATGACATTTCAAAATTTGAAAAACTAAACAATTTAACCATTAACGTTTATGGAATTGATAAAATTAATAAAAAAAATGATATTGTTCCACTTTATTTAAGTGAATATAAATCAGATGAACCAACATATCACTTATTAATGATTGAAAATAATGAAATTGACTTTGATGATGATGATGATGATGATGATGATAATGATGATATTTTTCAATTCAAGAGAATTTATCATTTTGCACTAATCAACGATTTATCTCGATTAGTTAGTTCACAGATTACAAAAAATTGTCATAGAATATGGTTTTGTGATAGATGTTTATGTCATTTTACACATGAGCACTCTTTTAATAAACATACTCCTGATTGTGAAAAATTAAATAAGTGTAGAGTTTTTATGCCAAACGAAGATGATAATATTTTAAAATTTAAAAATTACAAAAATAAAGAACATGTTCCATTTGTTATATATGCTGACACTGAAAGTCTTTTAGAACCTGTAACAAATACCTTCGTGAATACAGCTCCATATCTAAAGCATATTCCGACAAGTGTGGCTTTCTATTTACATTGTAACTTTGATGAATCACTCTCTGAATTTAAAATATTTCGAGGATCGGATTGTATTAAATGGTTCATGAATGAATTGAAGCAATTGTCTGTAAAAGCAAATTCTTATTTTACAAATATAATTCCAATGGAAAATTTAACTTTTTCACAACAAATGCAATTTAATACAGCAACAAATTGTCATATATGTGAAAAAACTTTTAAAGAAGATGACATCAAGCACCGAGATCATTGTCATTTTACAGGAAAATATCGTGGTCCTGCACATCAAAGTTGTAATGTAAACTATAAAGATTCACAAGTTATTCCAGTAATTTTTCATAACTTGTCTGGATATGATGCACATTTTATTATAAGAGAACTTGCAACATCTTTTGAGGGTGGTATTAAATTATTACCAATAAACAAAGAAAAATACATTTCCTTTACAAAAGATGTAGAAAATACAAAAATAAAATTCCGATTTTTAGACTTATTTAGATTCATGCCCAGTAGTTTAGAAAAGTTATCTTCATACCTTGAAAATAATAAGAAAGAAATCACAAAAAAATATTGTAGTAATTTAGATGAATTCAATTTATTGACAAGAAAGGGGGTCTTTCCTTATGAATATATTAATAGCTGGAAGAAATTAGAAGAATGTCAGTTACCGATTAAAGAATCTTTTTATTCTAAGTTAAATGACTCTCATATTTCAGACGAGGACTATAATCATGCTTGTAAAGTATGGGAAACATTTAATTTGAAAACATTAGGTGAATACTCTGATTTATATTTAAAGACTGATGTTTTACTTCTAGCTGACATTTTCGAAAATTTTAGAAAAACATGCTTCTTAACATACAAGTTAGATCCACTCCATTATTATACTGCACCAGGTTTGGCATTCGATGCAATGCTTAAGTATACAAACGTAGAACTTGATTTGCTAACAGATATAGAAATGTTACTTTTCATTGAAAGAGGTATTAGAGGTGGAGTATCCCAATGCTCAAATAGATATGCGAAAGCGAATAATAGATTTATGGAGAAAGATTTTAGTCCCTCTGAATTAGAGTCTTATATAATGTATTTTGATGTCAACAATCAGTATGGTGCTTCTATGAGTGAATATTTGCCATATAAAGACTTTGTATGGTTTCAAGAATATAAGAATGACTTTTACTTGGATATTTCAGATGAATCTCCAGAAGGATATATTCTTGAGGTTGATCTTGAATATCCTGTTGAACTTCATAATTTACATAAAGACTTCCCTTTATGTCCCGAGCATTATGTACCTCCACTTCCAAAATGCACACTTCCAAAATTAATTCCAAACTTATTATCAAAGAAAAGATATATAATTCATTATAGAAATTTAAAACAATATTTATCATTGGGAATGAAATTAATTCAAATACATAGAGTTTTAAAATTTAAACAAAAATCATGGTTGAAGCCATATATTGATTTAAACACAGAATGTAGAAAAAAGTCAAGTAATGAATTTGAAAAAAAATTTTATAAATTAATGAATAACTCTGTATTTGGAAAAACTATGGAAATTATTAGAAAACATAGAGATGTAAAACTAGTGACAAAATGGGAAGGAAGATATTGAGCTAAAAATTTAATCGCTCAACCAAATTTTCATAGCTGTATTGTATTCGATAAAGATATGGTTATTATTGAAATGAATAAAACAAAAGTGACGTTTAATAAACCAATTTACACAGGATTCACAATTTTAGATATATCAAAAATAATAATATACGACTTCCATTATAATTACATAAAGAAAACTTTCGGTGAAAATGCAAAATTACTGTATACTGATACTGACAGTCTTATTTATTTTTTCACAGTACCAAATATTTATGATTATATCAGACGGGATTTACATAAATTTGACACATCTGATTATCCAGAAAATAATATTTATAATATACCTCTTGTAAATAAAAAAGTTTTAGGGCTTATGAAAGATGAGAATAATGGTAAAATTGTAGCCGAATTTATAGGTTTGAGATCAAAATTGTATGCTTTCAAATTATGGGGTGATAATGAAGAGTTAAAAAAGAAAGCAAAAGGTGTGAAATTTTCAACATTAAAAAGAATAGAGTTTAATGATTACAAGCACACTCTTGAAAAATCTGAAAACCTGATCCAAAATCAGCACTTTATTAAAAGTAAAAAACATGAAGTTTATACATTCAAACAAAGTAAAGTTGTTCTCAACTGGCAAGATGATAAACGAGTCTTGTTACCAGGAACAACGGACACGCTTCCTTGGGGTTACAATTCACCATGATGAAAAAAATTACCAATAAATAAATAGGGTGAGTCTTCTTTTAATTTAAATTTAAATATTCACACAGCAGAAGTCGAGGGAGAATTTACTCAGGTAGTCAAGTGTACACTCTTCCTGTAATACTTGTGTAATAACGTGTAATAACGTGTAATACCGTGTAATAATGCGTTATTACAGTGCTGTAATAACGCAAAAAACTCTGTAATATCTCTGTAATAATGTGTAATACTCTGTAATAACGTGTAATACTTAGTAATAAGAGTAATATGAGGTGTAATACCGGTAATCAAGTGTACACGTTTTTAACTAGTAAATTCCCCATCAGCAGAAGTGAAGTATGAAAAGAGTGTTGATTTCAAAATATGATACCCTGCCTACACTGTAAGAATCACGAATTGTTTCTTTCAGCTGTTTAGCTGATAAGAGATGGGATGGATTTCAACAATTATGCAGACCAATTTCAAAGATTTTATATAAAAATTTTCTACACATTTCATAAAGAGTGGTCAAAAGGAGGATAATAGACAAAACATTATGTTATTATTATACATATGGACAGTATTGAAGATGAGATTTCTTTCAGTTTAGTGTCACTCCTGCTCGAAAGAAGTAATACATTTTTTATTTAAAACGTACCCCTAAAGAAAAGATTGGAAAAAGACATTTATAGTCAAATTTCAAATCTTGCTAAGCAATAAAATTTTCTTTATTATAGTGTTGTGAAAAAATAGTTGCATTAAATAATTTAATTTTTTTCAGTTTGAAAAATGGCAAGTCCGGTTTACAGCCAGGTGCAGCCATCAGTTGTCGTGCCAATGGAGTGGTGTAGTGCTTTACAACATAAAACTTTAATGGAAACAATAAACTTAACAATTGACACTTTTGTGGAGCGATATTTAGAAACAGATGTAGGGCCTGATATATCCCTTAAAATTGGGGATATATCAGCTAGACTAAATTTAGTGAATGGTGAATATGTTTTTATGCCGTCGGGATATCGACAATATTGTAAGGTACAGAGTGCGATTTCTGTACCTGTAGAATGGTTCCATGCTTACGATTTTGATTTTCTTCTACCCGTGCTCAATTTCTCAATAGATCAATATATTGATCAATATATGTCTTTAAATTTCGAACCAAAAATTATTTTAAAAATTGGAAATACTTTTTGTGCTTTAAGAGCAGTGAATAATAATTACATTTTTACAAAAATTGGACAATAGAGTTTAAAACCAGTAATATAAATAATCTTTTAATATATAAAAGTATAAAACGTTATGTATAAATAAATAAGTGAATAATCGTCAAATATATTTTTTGTAAAATGTTATGTTTCAATAAATTTATATGAAAAGTGTAAATTTTTTTATTATATAAATAATTATAATCTAAAATAGATAACTCATTTATACAATAATAATTGTTACAGATATGTGACTTAATTGTTACATATATGTGACCTAATTGTTACAGATATGTGACCTAATTGTTACAGTTATGTGACCTAATTGTTACAGTATTGTGACCTAATTGTTATAGTTTTGTGATCTAATTGTTACAGTTTTGTGACCTAATTGTTACAATTTTGTGACCTAGTTGTTACAGTTTTTAACAACCTTTTATATAATATAATTAAATTAGGTTAATAAACTGTAACAATTAGATCACAAGATTGTAACAATTAGGTCACAAAACTGTAACAATTAGGTCACAAAATTGTAATAACTAGGTCACAAAACTGTAAAAATTCCTACTTTAGTCACCCCCTTTGCTGCACTGACGTCTCAAGATTATGTGTCTCTCCATACCTTCGTCCCCCGCTTCATCAACATGTGCTTAGACCCCGGCCGCTTATCACCTCTTCTACACACCTACAAACTATGTGATACATCGAATGCAGCTTGGAGTTGAAAACATTACTCATTTCTTATTATTTGATTTTTAAAATATTAAAATAAATAGTTATCTACGATTAATAAAGTAACTTCTTTTACTCAATTCTTTACTTTTTGACAATAATAATATATTAACATTTTGATTAAAATAAAAGGGTTTTTTTTATAAATAAATGACATGAGACTCTTTTGATTTTTATATATGTTTATTTTTTTTAAATGTTGCACATCAAAATTTTTTTACAACAACTTATTACTAGTATTTTTAGATAACCACTCTGATAATAGTTTTACATTTCGCTCAGCACATTGAATTAAATCTTTTTCAATTATTTTGCGATGATTATAACATGGCTTGATATTATACGAAGCATGCTTCAGTGATTGAAGCGATGTACAGTTTATATCTAACATATCTATAATCACAGTAGATGGCTTAAGAAAACTTTTTAACCACTTCTTTTTTTCTAAGCCTTTTACATAAATTAGAGTTGCATTTTTAAAAATAGTTTCTAATATAATGGGAAGTAGTGTATATGGAACATCACCAGACGACCAATATATACAATGTAGATTATTTTCCAACCACTTATTCATTCTTTTATAATGTGGTGAAATACAGTTCCAATCACATGGAGGTTGAAAAATAAATTTGTATGGTTGTTGACAAGTTTTTTCAAGCGGTAAAATAGCTAATTCCTTTATAATAAATTCGTTAACAGGCAATTTGAAACATTGAACATCTACTATGTATGCCATTGTTCTGAAGACTAAATATGTTATACAAATATTTAATAATTTATATAATTTATTCAAACGATTTTTTTAACCCCACCGCTAATTGGTCTGTACTCAACAATTCTGTCATGTAATATAAGACAGTAAGCTGCTGTTTGGTCAGGTAAATTTTTCTTAGATTCAAATTCAAGACGAATATCAACTGGACCATATTTTAATGATTCATTTTGCCTTGAACAATCAATTACTATAAGTGGAGCATATTCAAAAAACTCATTTTTCGATAAGTATGGTTGGGGCTCCTTATTGTAATACGTCGCTTGAAAATTGGCATACATGTCATAAAGGACAGCATAGTGTCGTTTATCAAAATCTAAATTCAAATTTCCATATGGATAACTTTGATTATTTAAGAATAATTTAACATTTGTAATTTTACAATGATCAAAATGACTGGCATTTCTAGTATTAACATTTTTTCGATTTGTCTGAAAACCTAAAATTATAAAACGAGGTTTTTCCAACTGCGTTGATGTCTTAACTGTCCACACGTGATTGGCTGTCTGTGGTAGTAAAGGATACTCATAGAGTTCCCATGTTCGAAAACTTATTGGAATAAGTGGGTCTTTCTCAATGTATTTTAATAATTTGAATTTACGTGAATCAGACAAGCGAACATTGGGTAATAACCATTCAATTTTATTAATGGATACACTAATTTGTTCTTCACCTGTCTGTAGAATCGCATTCATATCATTTCTTGCTCTGGTTAAAATTAATTCATGTCTTGCATTAACAATAATTTTTTGGTAGTCCTCAGCAAAACCAAATAGAATTTTAAATGGTATTGAAATATCAAAATTTCCAAGGTTGTCAACAAGAACAGTGTTTGCGTTACAGGTCAAAAACCAACCAGCGTTTTCTAAAAATTTACTTTGAACTCCATAAACAGAAACGTAATTTTTCATGAGACTTGTAAGACCAACATTTCTATTTTTATCAATTTCAATAGCGTTTAGTTCATAACGAGCTTCTTCAAACAGATGACAGATAGCATTGTTAATAAACCTAGTATGTGTAACAGGTGTCCCGTTTTCCTTTAGTAATTTTCCTTGAATATGTAAAAAACTTTTGCTTGGCAAAACACAATGATCCTGGTTTTGTACAGCTATTCTTATTTCATCACTGTTATTAAATGTTGCTGAGGCATATGGTAGATGAGCATGAACCTCATAGTGAGCAATAGATTCATTGTAGACAATTGGTTTTGCAATATTTAACACATCCTCATCCTCCATTTTTTTTGGTAAATATTAAACTTTTTAAAGAGAAAAACAACAAAACAGATGCAAACAGCTCTTGTTATCTTCTTTGTTTCTTCTTCTCGATCACTTTCAGACCCAGATTCTTCAATAGTTGAATGTTTTGAGGTGTTAACCTCTTGGTTGTGGTGTCGTAACTGACTCTTTTTACACATTCTGGCTTCTTATATCCGTAACCAATTCTTTGATTATAGGCAATACCCATTTATACTGCTTTCACATGCAATCTAATGGTAATTGTTTCACTTTGAAAATTTACAAGATTTCCGTCCTGATCAACAATTCGTAACTGAATTTGATCAATGGTCTTGACGGCGATAGGCCAGTAAATGACATGAGATGGTACTTCCACTATTTTATATCCTGGTGGAACTGTTGGAAAAAATTCATGAATCGTGTGGACCTTCAGATTATTTATATATGCACCGGTTGTAATATTACATTCAACTCGTAGTGCATTAACTTTTATAATAGACACGGGTAAGTTAGATTGGAAATATTTATCAGCTTTAAGAATTTGAGGTTCAAATCCTAATAATTGGGCTATGGAATCATCTTTTTGAAAATTAATGTCACGATTGCACAAAATCTCACTACGTAAAGTATTGTTATTTGGTTTAATATAAATTTCAATTCCTTTGGGTTTCAAAACACTTTGTAAATAGCGCTGTATATCACCAATTTCATAGCTACCAGTTGGTATAGTTATTTCTTCTTGATCAACATAAAACTTATTGTGTCCAATATCTACATTTGGGATAGAGTTAAATGTAAGAAATTCAACCAGACCAAGTACATAATTCTTATGAGGTAACAATTCAATTGGTGGAAAATATTGTGTCTCCAATATGGATGATTTACCTGATAAGGTAAATGTTAATGAATCGTTCATATTGCTAGTTTAATTTATACTAAACTCAATGTTTCAGTGCCTTTGTTTTTAAAGAGTAAACATAGTTTTAACCTCAAGTTTATTTGAAAGAAATTTTAAACACAAATGACCACACACATAGGTATTAAAATTTTGATACCTCTTATGGTTGTATTTAATAACATTAACACTGAAATACTTTACAAGATCTGTAGGAGGTTGAAGATTACCAAAACTATCAAAATATTCAACATCATTGTTCATCTTCCTATAAGCTACCCAATGGGTACCAGCATTATTTCTACTATCCAAATTTACTATGGCTGATTCAAATTTATAAGGTCCTGCAACTGGTAACTCATCACGCATAAAAACACCACGAAAGTGTGGAATTTTCATAATTTTAGTGTATTTAAGTATATCGTAATTAGTCAATGCTCTTTTTGGCAATTTTACGATTTTTTGGGCTTTTTTTTTTTAAACCACATGCTAATCCTAATCCTTGTTTATAAGGCTTAAGATAGAGACCTTTTCCTAGAGCTATTGATTCCATGGTTCTGTTATGGCGTTGACTTTCTACTAGTTGATTTTTAGCTTCTCTTGCCTCATTAACTGCTTTTGCTATTCCAGCAGCTCCACCAGATAGTGCCCCTATTGCACTGAGGCTAGCAAAGAGTGGTATAAGAAATGGTAAAAAACCACCAACTTTTTTCGGTATAGGCAAAATTCGAGGTTGTTTCACTTTGCATTTTCCACCCGCTACTTTCACAGCTAAACGTGCACCTTTTAAAGCTGACTTTATAGCAGAAGATGTATCATGGCTTGGTGCAATAAATTTTTTTGATGCTAAAACAATATTTTTTAATGGAAATGTAGACTTTTTATTCTTTTTCTTTTTAATTTTCGATTTAAGACCCATTCCCAATTTAGTTTTCATTTTCATAGCGTTAGTAATTGCCCAAGCTGCTGCCTTTTCACCAAGTTTAGCGTCACCAGCATGTACACGATTCCAGGCTTTTTCTGCGAGTTTTTTATCTGCAACGTGTCTACTTTCAAGGCTATTATTTTGAGAATATGCAATATCGTGTTCCTTACAAGCTTGATCAAGAATATTAATGCCAGGATCACCGCGTGCCAATCGTTTTGTTAATTTTGTACCAGGTCCACAGTATTGATAACCAGGAATATGTAATTCAATAGGTAACTTGTTGATAATTTTATTTAAGAGACCTTTACCACGTTTGATAGAGTTTTTAGAACTGTTTGCTTTTTTCTTTACAAGCATTCTTTTATATTTCTACAACGAGTATCTTTTTAAGACTGATTTCAAAATGTATAAAAGCAATGTATTTATACTTTCTAGCTCAGTTTACTCTGAATATTTAACCTTTCTGAATTGCATAGGATATATTGAATTAAGTTTTAAGAGAATAATTTACATTTTTCACTAAAAAAATTAATATATAGACTGATATACTAAAAATAATAACAGTTTTGTATTTATACTCTTCCACCTCAGATAATATCAAAAGATGGAGTTCAAAGAACAATCAACAAAATTACCTGTGTTAGATTTTGATAAAGTAACACAACAAGAGTCTAAGACAAAACGTCATGGAAATCTGTTACCCAATACGGTAAGAGCAATTTTTTGTGGTCCATCGAACTGTGAAAAAACAAATGCTTTACTTGCTCTACTTTTACATTCAAATGGACTACGCTTTGAAAATATCTACATTTTCTCCAAATCATTAAATCAACCAAAATATAAATTTTTGGAAAAAACTCTTGAATTAGTGGAAGGAATTGAATATTTTCCATTTCATGAACATGAAGAGGTTATTCAACCAAACGAAGCAAAACCAAATTCTACAATTGTCTTTGATGATATAGCCTGTGATAAACAAGATAGGATTCGAGAATTTTTCTCAATGGGTCGTCATAGACTTATTGATTGTTTTTATTTATGTCAAACGTATACACGGATTCCAAAGCATTTAATTCGAGATAATGTGAATTTTTTGATAATTTTTAGACAGGATGATTTAAACCTTAAACACATATATGATGATCATGTCAATACAGATATGATATATACAAAATTTAAGGAATTATGTTCCTCATGTTGGAATAGTGACAAATATGGTTTCATTGTCCTTGACAAAGATAGTGATCTTAATAATGGTAGATACAGAAAGGGTTTTGACTGTTTTATAAAAGTTTCTGAAGCTTAAAGTGATTTGCACCCAGCCTCTAAGATTAGTTATAGCTTAAACTTGGTTCAATTAAGATGTCATCTTCAAGAACTGAACAAATTCAAAAACAAAAAGATATTGCGCTGCATTTGGCAAAAGCCAGTGACGCAATTCGACGAAAACATAAATTGTTAAAGTTAAATAAAGAAAACTTTGCAGAAAAATTAGAAGATACTTTTAAACCTATTACTAATCCTCTGGAAAAGCTAGTTAGTGATTTTAAAGTACTTAAAAAAGATGATATTAATAATAAAGATGAAAATGTTAAAACTGATGATGATGATGATGATTCATTGTTGTATGAGGACAATGGATCACATTCTTCTTCTTCACGATCGTTAGATAAGGACACAAAAATGTATCTTGAGATGTTAAATAAAAACAGTAGAGAAATCGATAATATATGTGGTGTAAGAAAATCAGGTAAAAACAAATTAAAGATTGGTAATTCTCCGATAAGTTTTAATGAAAACTATATAAATGTGGCTAATTCAACATTTCCTAGCAGTAAAGGATTACTTGAACTCCTTTTCAAAAAAACTCCAGATGAGTCTTCGATCTATGCTAAAGATTTGGGAAATTTCAAAAAAATACTTCTCTTGACAAACGCACATAAAAAAAACTATAAAGCTGATAGTGACATTCGTGAGAGTAAATCCTTCAAATTTAAGCGATTTATAGACAAATTATCTTCACCTACTAAAAAAAGAAATGGTAAAAAAAATAAGATTTCTTCTCGTGGGGGTGCCTTACCTGAGTTTATGATTGCTAAACAAACAAATAAAATGGACTATATATATTGGGATGATCCAAATGAACTAGTGGACAGACTAGGTTTACTGTTAGCATCTCAGTCAGCAGGAAATCCAAGCCACACAAACGAAATTTTATCAATCATTGAAGAACTACGAGAAGCAAACATTATTTATTAATTTTGATTAATATAAAAACAAATCAGTTGAATAATGTCTCTCGACGTATTTGGACGTTCTTTTAAAAAAATTGAAAATTCTATTCGTGGGCCTCCTGGAGTTGGCTTTAAATATACAACAGAAGGAAATTTCAATGTTGAAAATAAAAAGTTGTGTAATGTTGCAGAAGCTTTAAGTGAAGGTGATGCAACTAACTTGAGTCTTGTGAAAAAAATTGTGAGCACTGAAGTCAATGAAATTTATAAGATATTAGGATCTATGAGATCTGATATACTTAACAATAATATAAAAATAATAAGACTAGAAGATTCTGTAAATAAATATATGCATAATCTAAAAATAAGTATCGAAAGAAATATAGAGTGGTTAACACTTAATAAAGAGTTCCTTACTCAGTTGGATAAACGATTAAGTGCACTTGAATAAAATAAGAAAAGTTTGATTTTAAAATATGAATGAAGAGAAGCAAGCTCTAATTAGAGAATTGCATAAACCTGTTAGAAGAAATTATGCTAGGCGAAAGTTTGATATACGAGCAATCGATGACACTTGGCAAGCCGACCTGGTGGATATGTTAACATATGCAAAGAAAAATAAAAACTACAAATATATATTAACGGTCATTGACAATTTTTCAAAATACGCCTGGGCTGTTCCTGTAAAGAATAAAACTGGTGAAGACATTTCAGCTGCAATGAAGACAGTGCTGGACCAAGGCAGGGTGCCGAAAAACCTACACGTGGATCAAGGAAAAGAATTCTATAATATTAATTTCAAAAATCTCATGAGAGAATATAAAATAAATATGTATTCCACATTTAGTAATCTTAAAGCTTCGATTTGTGAACGTTTTAATCGTACCTTGAAAAATAAAATGTGGATGCAATTTAGTTCGCAAGGCAATTACAAATGGTTAGG